TAGATTAATAATATATTATTTTGATTTTAATGTTATTAATTTTGTGATTTTGTATCTTAGATTTTTTTAATTTAATAGCATATTTTTATTTAAAATTTTAAATAATTATATTTATTAATTATATTATATATTTTTATATTTTAGCGCCTCGTTTCGCTCGGGCGAGCGCATAGCGCCTCGGGCGTTTTTGGACCTTGGCGCCTTTTGGCGCCTAGCGCTTTTTAAATCACTGCTCCCGCCAGAGGCGCCTCGTCACCCGAAATCTCCTGCTAGAAGCCATTCGTAATAATAAGTTTCCCGCCAGGCCCTACGCTGCTCCACTAGGCACGCCACGTGGCGCGGTGGCACCTGGGAAAACCCCAGCGCGCTGCTCAACGACGCCCCCCAATCTTCATCCGAGTCACACCAGATCGGTTCCCGACTTGCGACTCGTCAGTCCCGCTTGAGCTCGAGCACAGTCCCTCGACCCACAGGCCCAATCTTTTCCCGAGTCGCGCCATATCGGTCCTCGACTTGCGACTCGCTAGTCTTTATCCGAGTCACGCCAGATCGGTCCCGTGACTTACGACTTGTCAGTCCTGCCTGAGCCTGAGCATAGTCCCTCAGTCCACAGGCCCAGTCTTTTCCTGAGTCGCGCCAGATCGGTTCCCGACTTGCGACTCGCCAGTGTTTATCCAAGTCACGCCAGATCGGTCCCCCGACTTGCTACTCGTCAGTCCTGCTTGAGCTTGAGCACAGTCCCTCGGCCCATAGGCTCAGTCTTTTCTCGAGTCACGCCAGATCGGTTCCCGACTTGCGATTTGTCAGTCCTGCCTGAGCCCGAGCACAATCCCTCGGCCCACAGGCCCAGCCCAGTCTTTTCCCGAGTCACGCCAGATCGGTTCCGGACTTGCGATTCATCAGTCCCGCCTGAGCCCGAGCACAGTCCCTCGGCCCACAGCCCTAGTCTTTTCCCGAGTCGCACCAGATTGGTTCCCAACTTGCGACTCGTCAGTCTTGCCTGAGCCCGAGCACAGTCTCTCAGCCCACAAGCCTAGTTTTTTCCAGAGTCGCGCCAGATTGGTTCCCGACTTGCGACTCGCTAGTCTTTATCCGAATCGCGCCAGCTCGGTCTCCTGACCAGCGACTCGCCAACATCATCCTGTATGGGCCCAGCCACCCGACCGACGGTGCAAATTCTTCCCAAAGCATAGGGCGCCACCCCCGAACTGCCTCACGACGAGCCAATCCAGCTTCCCCTCGCAAGCAATCAACACAACCGTGGCATTCCGACCCAAGCGCACCCCTCGCCCTCTCAAGGACCCCACGACATGCCTCGATGGGGGGGGGGGAGAAGTGTTAAGGTATATTTTGGGTCCAAGCCACGTCACGATCGACGCCATGCCATGCTACAGCCAAGTCAGCAAGAGGAGCACCCCCACGTGCCGAGCCATAATTCGTACCAAGCCGTTGCTCGGTACGTCCCGTCCCGGAAAGCTCGGGACGGCACCGCATGGCACCGTTCCGTGCGCCCCGGGACGGCGGTCGCACGAAGGTACCATCTCACCTGTCGAGGATCGGTCACCACGCCAAACCTGCGTACAATCGACTCTCGTACAATAGTATAAAAACCCCTGGCCGACATCCGGCCCAGGGGGAGGCAAAAAAACAAATCAGCCCGCCACTAACTTACTTGTCGAGGGGCCACAATCGGTAAACACCCGAGGGGGCCTTCTGTGCAGGAAAGCGGATCTCCCTAAGGCGAGACCATCCCGATCGAGAGAGGCGTTTCAACATTCCGACGCCAGCACCCCGTTCAGAGGGCGCGATCGACCTGGGCTACCGTCCCACCCGGCCGAAGACTCCCGACATCGACTCGTGAACCAGGCCGTGCTAACTCATCAGCCACGGCGCATCAGTTCACCAACAGTGGGTACCTAAGCATTGGAAGATTCTTTGGTCGCAAAGGTCATGTCATAAGCTTTGCCTTGTTAGGGCAAGTTGAGTACAGAGAGACACGACAATCACAAAGGCCATGTTGGATGTATCAGATGGTTAATCGAGTGTGGGGAGATGCCTTGGTTGCAAGTGCCACATGGGACACATCATATGCTTAAGGCATATTGGAGTATGAGGAGGCGTGTTGATGGTGAAGGTCATGTTGGGTGCATCAAATGTCGGAAGACACATTGGCCACAAGGGTAACATCGAATGTGTCACACACTTTGTATAATTAAGGTGCATCGAGTGTGGGGATGTGCTTTAGCCATGAGGGTCGTGAGAGTGAATCCATGCTTTGCTTGATTAAGGCATATCGAGCATAAGGTGACACTTGGTCATGAGGGCTACATCGGGCATGTCATACACTGAATGTATCGATAGAATGAAGACACAATGTCTACGAGGGTCATATCAAGCATGTCACACACTTTGTCCAATTAGGATATGTGTGATCGTGAGTGCTGCAATGTGCATGTCACACACTTTGCTCGATGATTGACCTTGTGTTGGGGGGGTAATATGTGTCCAAAATTGGATCTCACTCTAAGGTCAAAAGATGCTCATACACATACTTGCTATAGCGGTTGCTTCCTCATGTGGCAAACTCATGTTGGTTGCACCATCATGATGGTTACTTTTTCAAGATGACCTCAAGTTAATCGCACTATCATGATAGTCCCTTCTTCAAACGACCTCATGTCAGTCATATATTTGTGATGGCCGCTTCTCAAGACAATATCAAATTGGCTACAACATGATGATGGCACTTTCTCAAGACTATTTCAAATTGATGGCTTCTTCAAGTTAGTCACACCCTCAAGATGGACATTTGCAAAGATGACTACCGTCAAGCGGATCACACCATCCATTGAACCCGCAACTTTTCTTCTTCCTCACAACAACGGTGCTCCATCAAACCTCGAAGACTTGCCTAAACTAATCTAATCGATCGATACCCCTTCAAGCAACGACACTGCTCCGCCTTTGTTCCTCCAAGCGACAGCACTTCTGACAACCGATAGAATATAGACCTAAACATTACTCGGATTATCGTTCTCCCATGATGAATGAAAACAAAAACATAGACCTAAATTATAGGTTATGTGAGAAGAAATAAGAATTTTTTTGCTTTCATTTATTTTGAAATATGTCAAATTTTCTTAATTTTCATCCAAGACAAGACAAAGTATCATACTATAAATAAAATCTCATTAAAAAATATATTGTAAATTATACATGTACTTTCTAAATGCAAAGCATATAACTCAATATATTAGCCTTCCATTAAGGCTAGAAAGAGAACCTTGCTTCTGTCCATATGTTTCCAATAAAATTTAACTTTTTTAATTCACCCTATGGTAAGTATTAATTCTTGTTCATCCTTTTGATTTTCTAATGTTTCCTGCTATAATAGTTACGATATCTGTAATATTTCTTTCTTCTTCAGCTCGATATTTCCCATAACTTGTTGTGGAGTTATAAATAAATAGGAGTATCAACTAGAAATCTGTGTTTAACACTCTAAAATCATGGATTGGAGAGGATGGTCAGTTCTTCTTTTCTTGGCCTAATGTTTTCTTACGTGGAGTCCAGCAGCAGGAGATAATATTTGGGATCTCTCCGCAGAAGAAGACAAGGAGTTAGAGAGAGAACTCCAAACCCTTAACAAGCCTTTTGTTAAATCTTTCAAAGTAAGTGAAGAGATGTTAATAAGTGTTTTTTTTTTTGTAATTGAATGCATATGCTTCTCAAGTGTCACTTATATTTTGATAGGAAGATGGGAACTGATGGAATTTTATTTATTTATTTTTGTGCATGTAGGACAAGTATGGGATTACCTATGATTGCGTGGACATTTATAATCAGCCAGCTTTTGATCACCCTTTGCTTAAAAATCACACGCTTCAGGTGAATTTGTCATCTTGTTCGAGCTTAGATGTCTTTATCCTTTTTTTTTTTTCCTCATCCAGCTATTTGACTACCTTTATCACATGATCATGCATCAAACAGAATTACTCCTGATTCATAAGGTTTTTTATTCTCTTTCTATAATATACTAAGGAAGGTTGTTTCCATGGCTTGAATCTTATCATCACTCATAAAGGAGCAAGTTGTACTAAGTCTCAACGAATTTTTTAGAGTTTGCACTTTTTCAAATTTGATTCATAAGGTTTCTCTTTCTATAATATATACTAAAATCCATGATAAGGGAGGAAGGTTGTTTCCATGGCCTGAATCTTGATCACTGTTGATAGGGAGCAAATTGTACTAAGCCATAATAATCTGGTATAGAGTTTGTGCTTTTTGAAATTTGATACATATATTTTTTCCTAAAATACCATATATAAAAGAATTAGCATAAAAATTAATGTTTAACTTGTTATGAATTTTAATGAACATTCTAACATCATGCAAACTATTTAATGTAAAAAGACTTTCGTCTAACTTTTTTTATTTTCTCAAAATTTAGTCTTACGTGAAGCTTATGATTAGTCATGTTGAAAGTTGGTCTGATAATAATTTTGTCCAATGTTTTTCCTTCTATTGTACATCCATTATTAATTATACCTTAACTTTCTTATTGCAATCAATTAGTTACCAATATTTGAATTGACTTTATTGGTTGTGATAATAAACAGATTAGGTTGTTTTTTATTTCTTTCTTTTCAACTGTATAGTTTTCATATTCTCTTAATTTATTGAGTAAACTAATGTGTGTACTCAATTGATGAAAGCCACATGGTTACCTAAATACAATGACAACACAAATAGGCTATCGACAAAGCAAATCTTTCCAAAACGATGTCCTACAGGAACTATTGTCATCAGACGGACGACAAAAGAGGATCTAATAAGAGCAAGAAAATATACACATCAAATACAATCACATGTGCAACCACTACAAGAACAAATGGCCGATACCAGTGGGGGAGCTTTTCATGTAAGATGCACTTCATCATGATTGATTGGTTTTGATAATAGCTGAACTTGTAATTTAGTTTATTCTCTCACAACCATCCACTGTTTCGCATATTGCACCTTTCGTTTATGTTTCTCATATACTAACTTGTTTGAGTCGTCAGTATTAGAATAACAAAATATGCAAAAGAGACAACAAAAAGAGAAATAGAGAGGAGTGGAAGAAGAGATTAGAGAGAAAAAGTGAAAATAAGGTGAATAAATGAGAGCAAAAACGCGACTCTTAAAAATTATTTGAGAGACAAATGTATTTCTAAGTTCAAAATAGTTTTGAGAAAACATATATATTGACTCGGAGATCTCGGAACACACATTGAGAAAATATTGGGAATACATGCATTCGTCCATTAACATAACTTGACGTACCACTCGTTCATCTGACTTGGAACTCAGTAAACACATTCTTCTGGTGGTCAAGGGGCCACCATTGCTTCAATGCATGCGTGACTGACCTACTATGCTTGACTCCAAGTGCAGTATGCTCGAGTGTCAATTGATGCTGGTAAGGGACCAAAGTATTATGGTGCAAGCACAGACCTGGACGTTTTCCAGCTTTCAGGTGTTTCAGAGAACCAAGCAAGCACAAGCCAGATCATCCTTAGCAAGGGAGAAAGAGGTCCCAGAAATTACATTACCAGCGTTCAAGCTGGATGGCATGTAAGTACTGGCTTTTTTGTGATGTTGGTGTGCAATGTCTATTCTTCACCGGTACATATCACCCACCTCTACATATATGTATTCTGGATCTCCAGGTGAATTATCAATGGGAGGGGGACAATTCGACTCATTTCTTCACATATTGGACTGTCAGTATCACGAATTCTCTTTTAGTTTCTTTTGCTTTCTTGCACTAACATGTATTCTCTTTTGATCTTCTGCTATCAGTCAGATGGTTCTCAGAAGACTGGTTGTTATAACCTAGTCTGCAAGAGGTTTGTCCAGATCAGTACTAGGTTGGCTCCCGGCATGATCTACACACAAAGCTCTTTGTCACTCTCAATTTACAGGGTTGGGAACATTTGCTCTTCTTTTTTTTTTTTTCTTTTTTCTTCTGATGAGAACTCGTAATAAACTAAGGTAGTGAAGTCCAATTGAAAGCTAGAACAGAAATAACACCAAGAACGATTCATTTACGCACTCTCTCTTTTCTCCTTTTCAGGATCGGTTCACTTTGAACTGGATGCTTTACAACGACAGGGAACCAGTGGGGTATTGGCCAAAGGAAATCTTCAACAACATGGCAGATTGTTCACAGGTGCAGATGGGGGGAGATGTCTACTCGCCCCTTGGTGAGCCAAGTCCACCAATGGGCAGTGGCGTGCTCAATGAAGCAAAATTCACGAGAGTTCTCCTAACGGATGGACGTGGTAATGACATAAAGGTAACGGAGTACACGACAATTAATGATCTTCCTAACTACATCTACGGTGTTACCTCGGATCTTCAAACGTTAACTTATGGCGGGCCTGGAGGTAGGCGGAAAGCTTAATCTTCATGGGACAAAATTGTGATATGAATGATCGATCTATTGCGGTGTATGCTTTGGAGTTAATATAACCCTAAAATTATCATGTTGACACTGTCGTATAAGATTTTTTATTGCCCATGTGAGTCTATATAAGGCTCAAAACTATTCAATCGAAATATGTTTATATGCATACTACATACCACAAATTTCACTAATTTCATTCACTTTACTCAACAAGACAAAAGAGTTACATAGATAATAGATTATTTGATTTAGAATATCAAGTTGAAGTTCACTTTTTCTTAAAATTTTTCATGTAAGAGTGTTACGAAACTTGGAATATGTGAAAAATTAAGTCTTAGATTTATTGGACCATTTTAAATCATAGAAAATTAGAAACATGACTTATAGAGTTGTTATGATATATTTCATATTTTATGTTGAAGAAATTTATTCAAAATTCTGATAGTATAATTGAACTGACACCATTGTAGTTTGTTATATTAGAAATAATCTATTAGGATAATGGAAGAAAAGATGAAAATTTTAAAATTATAGAAATATATCATATGTTAAGGTGTAGCATAATAGAAGATACTTGGGGAGTTCAAAGATGTTATGGAGACCAATCATCCTCAATTATTTTCTGACTTAGGGATGTGAAGTTTAGAAGACTAAATTTTTATTACGAGAAGAATGCAATAATTATATTTTTCCTAAATGACCTAATTGTAGATAATTATTTAAGAAAGTTAAATTGTAAAAAGAACATGTTTTTTATGTAGTCACGTGCGACGGTGCAAAGAAGCAGGAGATGAGAAAAGAAAAAGAGGGAGAAACATGAGAAGGGCAAAGAGAGAGAGAGTATACTTTAAAATTTTTTATACTTGTTACTTCTTGTTTAAATTTTTATGGAAAATATCATTTAGTGATCTGGGATTTTTTTTATTAATTTAAGATTTATAACAATAAGGAATTAAATTTTGGATAGAATTTCAGTAATCAATCAGAATTAAATCTGGCTTATTTTTAATGTTAAATCATGTCATTAAATTATGTAATATGACATCACGAATCTTTAAGAATCCTAAATTCATGAATCTAAGTTCCTGATTGCAGCATTTTAATTAATTAATTATTATTCTATAAAAAACACACACAAAAAGAGAGCTCAATCCCTATTGGGCTTGACCCGGTTCGGATTCGAATCAGGTGTAATCCTATCCCGAACCTAAATGTAGAGTTAGACTAGCCCCAATAGCCCCAGCTCTCTTCTTCGAGGAGGGACCGAAATCAGGTCCAACTTAGGTTGGGTTCTATTTTACCTCACTAGAGAGATCGGGTAAAGTTGGACCTAATTGGGATCCAAGTAAGGTGACTAAGCTTAATTGAGACTAGGCCCTGAGCTAAGGAGAAAACTCAAATGAGCCTAGGCCCCAGCTAGGTAGTAGACCTAATTGAGCCTAAGCCAGACAGAGTCCAAGCCGATAAATCAGGATGATCTAGATCATCATTTTAGATAGACCAAGCCTAATTAGGTTAGTCCAATTCGATTCAAGCCTTATCCAATTTGACTAGGCCTTGTTCTTAAACTTGAAGCCTTTTTTGTTACCCTTAAACCTAAAAAAACACTATCCTAGATCGGTTAATAGAGCAGCCTAAATATTTACTAGTTTAGACTATCAGCATCATATTGATAAGACCATTTTTTTCCCATTGGTATGTTTCTTGCATCAAAGTGAAACATGATAAAGATGAAACTTGTTGATTGGATCATCCCTTCCTTCTAGTCTTGGCAACATTCACTCGCATCTTCTTAACATTTTTCTTTGCCTTTATCTTGTATTTCTTTGTTTGCTTCCTTTATTTTTCTATATTTATTATAAATTCATTCCTAACAAATTTTACAAGTCCTAATCTCTAGCAACAAAAACATATATAAGTTGTAAAACTAACTGTGAAGTCCTTGATGAGTGATACTGATTTCCTTTTGACCTCTATGAAATCAACAAATCTAAGCATACTTATACCCCTATGATGGATCATTTGATATTTGTTGTAGTATTATTTAGTCTCCATTATTGATAAGCTAAAAGTGGGTTGTGATTTTAGTAGAAAAATGATGTTATGTGAAATATCAACTTTTAATTTGAGTAAAATGCTTAAATTTTAGTAGATTGAGTGCGTTTCGATATCAATCTGAATAAAAAGTCGAGTCGACCCTAAACAAGCCCAACCCTCTTGTTTGAGGAGGGACTCAAATCAGGTTAGGCTTAACCTGATCGAGATCCAAGCTTGAGCAAGGAGACCTAGGCCTAGTTGAGTCTAAGCTCAAGCCAGATGACAAACCCATGTGAGCCCAAACCCCAGCCAAGCAGCAAACCCAGTTGATACTAGGTCGGAGTCCATGCATCCACATTGTCATTTCAATCAAACAAATCATAATTAGCTCGATCCAGTTTGATTCAAGCCTTATTCAATCTGAGTTACTGTAACACTTAAAAGCCTTTGTATTTATTACTCTTAAACCTGAAGCAGCTTAAGACCATATTGGTTGGTTAATAAGTGACCTAAATGTTTTACTAGTTAAGACTATTTTCTTTTCATTTTGGTGTATTACTTACATCAAAACGAAACATGATAAAGGTCAAATGAACTGATTGGATCATCTCTTCTTTCCAGCTTTACTAGTGTTCCCTTGCCTTCATCTTCTAAGCACTTTTATTTGTCCTCTTCATCCCTTTGTTTGTTTGCTTCCTTTATTTCTCTCTTTTTATAATAAGTCTATTCATAATGAACCAATAAGTAGAGCCTTCAACCACCTTGATCTCTGGTATTGAAGCTTGTGGTAACTATAAGACCAATTATGAAGCCCTCCATGAGTGATCCTCATTTCCCTTTCACCTCTATGAAATCATAAAATCTAGGTTTACTTATATTGCTACCATGTATTATTAGAAATATGATGTAGTGTTACTTACTCTTAAACCTGAAGCCTTTTTATTACTCATAAACCTATAGTAGGCTAAACCAAATTGGTTAACAAGCGATCTATTTTCTTTCTATTATAGGATTTTACTTGTCTCGAAGCAAAACATAATAAAGGTGAAACATGGATCATTTCTTTAATCTAGCTTTAGCAACATTATCCTACCTCGTCTTCTTAATATTTTATTTTATCATATTCTTTCTTTTCTTCATTTGTTTTCTTCGTTTTTTTACCTTTATTGTAAGTTTAATTCTAATGAGCTGATATTTAGGCTTATATTTCATTCTATATCATAAATCATTTTCATAATACTTTTAATTATAATACATTCAAGTTTTTTAACATTTTAAATAGTTAACAAATAAGGTCAAGTAGGACCTTCAATGAGACCCTAATATCTGATATAGAAGCACATGGCAACTACAAGACTGATTAAGAAGCCCTCCACGAGCAACGCTCATTTCCTTTTGACCTCTATGAAATTAAATCTAGGTTTACTTATATCACTATTATAGATCATTAGATATCTGATGTAGTATTATATGGTCTCGATTATTGATAAATTGAAAGTGGGTTATGATTTTAGTGAAAAAATAACATTATGGAAAATATCTACTTTTGTTTCCTAAGCAAAGAGTTAGTTCAACTCTAAATAGGCCCAACCCTCTCGTTTGAGGAGTGACTTTAATCAGGTCCAATTTAGGTAAGGTCGGTTGACCTAATTAGGGAGATTGAGTCATGATAGACCCAATCAGGATCTAAGCCGGAGTAAGGTGATTGAGACTTAATTGAGCCTAGATTTAAGCCAAGCAGTGGACCCCTATAAGTCTAGGCCCCAACCAAACAATGAACCCAATTGAGTGCATGCTAGAGGCCAAACACGTTCCTATTAGGATCGGGTCAGCACTAAGAGGGAGGGTGAATTAGTATAGTGGTAAAATAAAGTTGGTTTAAAACTTTCGCATGATAAAAGTCATTTCCGATAAAAAGTCGTTTTGTAAAGATAATAACTTTGAAAGCATATATAGATGTAGTTAAAACATAGTAAAAAGGAGAGGCAATTTGCTATAAAAGAAAGTTGCTCAAAGTAACTGCAAACCGAGTTTTAGAGTGGTTCGGTTAACGTGATCTACATCCACTTTCGGCTTCCTCCTCCGACGAGGTCACTGGCGTCCACTAGAGGCCTTCATTCAATAGGCAAAGGCCAATCACCTTTTACACCACTCTTCTCAATTTTAAGAGATAACTCTTACAAGCACTCACACTCCTTATAGAATTCTAAACTTAGAGTGGATGAGGGAATTTCTAAAGGGATTGCAGTAACGTTTTCTCACTTTTGAATACTCTGTGCTTGTGTGCTTTAACTAGAGATGAGAAGAGTATTTATAGGCTTCAAGTTGATTAAAACTTGGAGCCTAAAACATTCCCATCCTGGGTTCCCCGGGCATGGGTGGTACTACCGCCTGTATTGGACGGTGGTACCGTCCAGTGTCAGTCTGATACTGACACTGTCCTTGGCGGTAGCACCGCCCAGTCTAGCGGTACCATCGCCAGGGGATAGTGCTGGGCGGTACCACCGCCTAGCACCCTACTAGGGGCGATACAACTGCCCAAACTGGTAGTACCACCGCTTAACATAGTCTCGAAGACTGTGCCACGATGATGAGACTTCTTGAGGCACTGTTTGGGGCTCTTATTGGGCCCAACACAGTTCTTACATGGGCCTAATTGGTCCCTAATTTGGGTTGGCCCAATTACGTGCTAACTACGAAATCCTAAGATATTTGCTAAGCTAAACAAGTCCCTATGTCTATTCTTCCAGCGAACTTCCGACGATCTCTCGGTAATGTTCTAGTGGACTCCCGACAAACTCCTGGACTTCACGATGATCTTCTTGGCAAGTTTCGATGAGCTTCTCTGGCAAGCTCCGAGACTTCTCGGTTGGTTTTCCCAAAAATTCTAACGAACGTCCGGACTTCCGACGAAGCCTCGAACTCCCAACAAAATCGCGTCCTTGACTCTGGGACTTCATTTTGTTTCATGCCTTACTATCATAGTTAATCCTGCATATGTAAAAATATACTTTGATCTAGACAATTAATACTAAGTATTAATCAAGTTGTCCGGCATGTCATTGGTCCCTCG